CCAGGGATTGAACTTGGGCCCTTGTGCTTGGAAGGCAGGCAGCAGAACCACTGAGCCAAATCCCCGGCCCTCAAGCCATATTTCTATTTAATAGTTGCATAGCTTTATAATTATTGAATCTTTGATTCAGTTACATATTTATAACTGAAATGTATATGTTCATTATAAAGTTGAATAGTTGAAGTGCATTCCATCATTCCATGTTTTGCTACAAAAAATCAGTTAAGTGAAAATTTGTTAATTTTTTTAAAAGAAAATTAGTTTATTTCAGTATCTACAAGATTCTAGTTAGAGCCTAAAAGGTACAAGAATAAATAAGACATGATCTCTGAGCCGCTTGCGGTAGGAGAGGAGGAGCCTTGGTGGAGATGGCGAACCTTTCGGAGCTCTCGGCTCTCACCTCCTGCTGCGGCTTGTGTGCGATAGGTTGGCCACCTCTGGCCTGCAGTCGTGATAAATTTCTGTCGTTTTCAGTGGAGCTGTGACTCCCCAGAGGTAGCAGTGTTGTGTCCTCTGCAGCAGTGAGTAAGGCCTTGCACAGAGACCTAGGAATTGGGCCGAGCCGGCTGTGAGGCACAGGGAACCTGAGGTCACCCACGGTGCTGCAGTCGCGGTGTTCTGTGGACCAGGGCTGTGAGTGGGACCTGGGAAGGCAGTGAGGAGCGTTTTGGAAAGGACTTTATTGCAGTTTATATAGACTTGGAGATTACTCTTGGTTTTGTTAAATCGACTAACTTGAGTAGCACTGCAAACCTTACTGGTATTGGCCATAGATGCTGTTTCTGATCATCTCTCGTTTACACATTGGCAAATAGAAATAAGACTAGAAAAGAAAGTAAAAGACATCTGAAACCCAGAAATAACTGTTTCTTCTAAGTAGTGATGATCACAGGAACAAAAACCAAAGCCAAGATAGGAACGTATGCACTTCCCTCTAGGCCATGCTTTGACAGATATTTATTGAGCATCTACTTAGAGCCAAACACTGTGCTGGGGTCTAGGACATTGTGCTGGAAATAGGTTTCTAGTGAGTGCTGCTGTGTGCTAGATATCGACCCTTTCATAACTATGTAGATAAAAGAATTAAAGAGCAAAGAATTTAGCAGCTTAAAATATATTTCGTATAAGGTTAAAATTATTTTATCTTGACTCCGTTATCTTTGGAGAGACTTAACCTCATTAAGCCTCGATGTCACGGTCTGTAAACCTACTAATAATGGTTTGTAGTTTTAGATAATTCTCAGTGATTAAAAACTAGCAACAGGTGGGGAATTTAGCTCACTGGCGCTGTGCCTGCCTCACAAGTGCAAGGTCCTAAGTTCAATGCCCGGTACCAAAAGGGGGAAAAAAAAAACTAATGATGGTAGCAAAGCAACTAGAGGAGGAAAGAAACCCCATGCTAAAGCTTTTGACGCAAGGTCCTAAGTTCAATGCCCGGTACCAAAAGGGGGCAAAAAAACTAATGATGGTAGCAAAGCAACTAGAGGAGGAAAGAAACCCCATGCTAAAGCTTTTGTTAAATGAACCTTTTTCTAAGTAATTATTAAGTAATAAATGCTTTTGTTCCTTTTTCTACCTTCAGATCTTTCTGGGTTTTTTTTATTTTTGAGGCAGTGTCTCACTATGTATTGTAGGCTGGCCTTGAAGTGGTGATGCTTCTACCTCAGTCCCCCAGTACCCTGGGGTCACAGGTGTGCACCGCCAAGCTGGGCCTTTCAGTGCCTTTTTCTTTTTTTTTTTTTTTTTGGTGGTGGTGGTGGTGGTGGTAATAGTGGTACTAGGGACTGAGCTACATCCCAGCCCTTTTTTGTTTCACTTTTTTATATTTTGAGACAGGACCTCACCGGCTCACTAAGTTGCTGGGCTGGGTTTGAGTTTGCGACCCTTGTGCCTCCAGCTTCCGGAGAGCTGGAATCACAGGCCCATGCCCCACACCTGGCTCAGATCTTCGTCTATCGGAGGGACAAGTGCCTTACAGTAAACATATATGAGATCTTACAGACTGACCTAATTTCTGTTTTACTTCTGTAATCTTCCAATAAAAATCTGCTTCTTTTGCTTTGTTCCCTACAGAATATATTGCACTTTATCCATATTCAAGTGTAGAACCAGGAGATTTGATTTTCACCGAAGGTGAAGAAATACTGGTGACACAGAAAGATGGAGAATGGTGGACAGGAAGCATTGGAGATAGAACTGGAATTTTTCCATCAAACTATGTCAAACCAAAAGATCAAGAGGTAGAGTTACGTTGGTATTAAAAGCATTCAGTCTGTTCTTACTGCTCAGGATTCATACTTAAAGCAGAGACTACACGTATGGCTTTGGTCAGTCTACTTTGGTTACAAGGAAGCCACTCATGGTAGCTCTGATGCCATAGATTTTATTACAGGGCTCCAGGTAGAAGACGAGGGGAAGAGAATTTATGACATTGTCAGAGCAAGAGTGACTCATGCTGTACTCTGAGGTTCCCACTGCTTTGCATGCTGCCACCTGTATGATATAAAGCAATTCTTAGACTTTATGGATTCGTAAAATTCACTGGGCCAGGCGTGGGGGTGTGCGCCTATAGTCCCAGCACTCTAGGAGGCTGAAGCAGGAGGATTGCCAAGAGTTCAAGGCCAACCTAGATTGTATACTGAGTTCAACGCCAGCCTGCACTGCATAGTGAAACCCTGAAAAGAACTGAGGACCCCCCAGAAGGGTCTTTTAAAGTATATATCTAGATATAGATTATATTTAATGATATTTACCATATTAGAAAATTAGAATAACCATATTAAAACAATAAGTTATTTACATATTAATTAATTTAAATATAATAGCTAAATCCATTATATGGTAACATCAATAACTTTTATGAAGAACAACTGTATTTTTGAAGAAAAAATTAGGAAGCATGGTATTTTGTGTTTCTTGTATCTCTTAATATCTGGCTTAATTGAAAATAGCAAGATTCTCAAATCTACTTCTATATTCAATCTGTTATGATATATTCTTTTTGTTAAAACGTGTAATGAAAATTCTACCTCATACAGATATTAAAGGAAATAGAAACATTTTAATAACTCCAGATGTCTGTGGATATTCTTTATTCTGCTGTAACAAAATTTGACAAACCCTAAATTATTCTAGGCTCATTACAGCATGGACTCTGAAGCCTTATCCGTGAACATTTCTTGCTGTTACATTAAAATTCATGAGTCTCTTTTGCACATGGAATGAGTTTTTTACCCTTGTGCAGTGTAACATTATTCACTGTTCATTTGGAAAATGTTGAATCGCTGAGTTGTGCAGACGCTTCCTGTATTGACATTTCATTAAACGATGTTGAGAAATCTCATTGATTAATAAATACCACCAATCATCAGAAAAATCTAGGGAGCTGTCACATTCATAGTGGTAGATGTAAGTTTTCTAGGAGTTTTCTTTTCTTATGTTTGAATTTTATCATTGGCAGTAAGTCCTGCCATTTGTTTTCCCTGCAGTGAAGGATTTACTTCATTCATTTTTTAGAAAATAATTGCTAAATCCCAAGTCTAAATAATTACATATCAGTTCTTTGAAGTAAAAATGTTGTTCCATGAAAACAGCTTAGCTCACAATTTGTTCACACAGTCCTTTTCTTGAGACAGTCATTGTACTTTCTATGCTGCAGAAATATTTGTTTGTTTTTGTTTTAGACAGAACCTCACTATATAATTCATGCTGACCTTGAACTCACTTTGTAACCCAGTTTGGCCTTGAATTTGTGGAGATCTTCCTACCTCTCAGCCTCCCAAGTGCTGGGACTACAGGCGTGCCCAGCTGCAGCAGAAATGTTTTAGGCACACTTCTGTTTTGTCACACAAAATGTGTATTCAAGGATTAGAGTTAATAAAATTTTCAGTATCTTATCAAGGACATTCTTAAATGAAACTGGCTTTTTGTTGTTGCTGTGAGTACGTGGTGCAGAAAAATAGTATGACTAGTAGTGTAATTTGGTGCCACTGCCTTGATTCATGCTAAAATACCAGCAGGGCTTGAGACAGAGTCCTGTATGTAACCCAGGTTGGCCTTGAACTCACTCTGTGGCCTAGGCTGGCCTCCATTTCACGGTGATGCCCCTACCTCCTGAGTGCTGGGATTACAGCCTGCACCACCACTCAGCCCAGCTCTAGCAGTTTTACTTACTGTCGTGAATGTCAGCACAGTGGAAAGTGAACACTTCCTTAGTGTTAGCATGAAAATTATTTTCATCCCACAGACTGGGAAGGGCCCGGGGCCTACTACCAGGGTTGTTATCAGCTGCATGTTGAGATCCATTACTTCAGTGCATCAAGCAGCCTGGTGGGCGCCAGGCTGTACCACTGAGAGGCTAGACTTGAACAAGTCACTTCACCTTCCTGTACCTCTGTTTTCTGTAAAAAAGGAGTGATCATAATTACTCAATAGTGTTATTGTAGAAACTAAACAGGTAAGTATGTGTAACCTCTTAGACCAGTGAATACATAGTATTCAAAAAGTGTTAACTTGAGACTCCCAGCATCTCTGCTTAAATACTTCAGGGCGCCTGTGTACACTAACAGGAAAAAAATCCTTTTTAACCCCTTTCCTTGAGTGAATGCCTTAAAGATAGGAAATATGATTGGTCTCCTTTATGTTTGAAAGACCATAGAAACTTCAGTTGCTACCCATGGTGTGAATACTTTTGTTCTTAAATCAGGCTTAGTCAGTTTCCGGGTAGCATGGTAAAGAATAAAAGCATTGCCCATGGCCTCACACGTTCGGGAACATACGGGAGGGAGTGGGCAAAGCTGGGCGCGCTGCTAAGAGCCGGGCCTCTGACCTAGATGGTCGTGGTGAACCGTTCAGGAGACTCAGAAAGTGAGCTTGTCGGTTGAGTCAGGGCTGACGGCCTCAGCCTCCTGTATGTGAAGTGTTTCATTAGCAGACCAAACTTCCTGGAAAGTGGAGGGCTTTCCACTTAGTTAATGTAAGATTCATTGTCATTTTGATATTCATTTAAAGAAATTCTGGGGATTAGAATTCTTTCATTCATAGTAAGCTCAATACTTTTACATTTGGACTGTTGGAAATGATAAAAATAATGTCTTTTCCTTGTAGAATTTGGGGAGTGCTAGCAAATCCGGAACATCAAATAAAAAACCTGGTATGTACAATAATGAGTTTGAAAAAGTGTTCAAGTGTTTGCTCTGTCATAGTCTTGAATTCATAGTTGTGTTTTTCTTTGCAGAAATTGCTCAAGTAACTTCAGCATATGTTGCTTCTGGTGCTGAACAACTTAGCCTTGCACCGGGACAGTTAATATTAATTCTAAAGAAAAATGCAAGTGGGTGGTGGCAAGGGGAATTACAGGTAATATTCTTTAACATCAATCAATTTCATTATAAAAATAATGTATGCTCCTAAAAAAAGATAAAATCAGGGCCAGGAATTTAGCTCAGTGGTTTTGCCTCGCAAGTACAAGTTCCTGAGTTCGATCCCCGGTACCAAAAAGAAAAAAGAAAGAGAAAAAGAAAATCAGTTAAAAATTTCTGTCATCCATATGTGCAATTATACCACTTACAGTTAATCAGTAGTAACATTTCATTGTATTGGATTTCCTTCTAGTCAATTGCTTATTTATTTTTAGCACAATTTAGCTGATTAGTAGCATTTTAGAGAATAATTCTCCTTGGAGACATAATCGTTTCCCCGTAATAGATCCCTTATGGAACTGCAGGTCATCCTAAAGAAAGCACAGTGCTATCTCTGCCTGAGATGGCCACGGGTGTGGTGCATTCTTCTAGGAGAAAGACCTGATCTGATCTGTGTGTTGAGAAAATACAGTGGAGTCTCGGTTCATAAACTTAATTTGTTCTACAAATTTGGGAAAGATGACCACGTTTGTGTTTGTGCGGGAAGGATGGCCATGTTCACATTTGTCACCCGATGAAGTTTGCAAACAAAAAACAAAGTTTTGCCAAACACTTCTGTTTGCAGACTAAACTGTGCAAATAAGCATTTGTGAATCAGCGTCCTACTGTAGCACCCATTAAACTTTTCCCCAAAGAAACATAGTGGAAGAGTCTTTTTTCCTAAAATGCAGACAAATGGCTATTATGTATGGTTTGATAAAGGAAGAGCATTCTTTTCTCACTTCTAAAATTTTCTTAGTGTTACAATTTAGCATTTTAGGGTTGAAAGATAAGTTTTTTTGTTTTTTTGCTGTGGGATTAAACTCAGGACCTTGCATTTGCAAGGCAGGCATGGCACCACTGAGCTAAATCCTCAGCCCCAAAAGATGATAAGTATAGCCGTATTTTATATAAAATTAATAATCATTATAATACCAAAGATAAACATAGCTTCATTCTTGAAGCTTAGGAGTCGCTTAGGATTCCCAGAAAGGGGAAAGGATTAAAACTCAGTATCTCCTTGAATAACCCCCTGGATTTCCAGCTCCTTGTTTCCTCTGAAGATGGACCTAAGTGGAAAACATCGCTCTTCATAAATTTTGTTTTCTCAATTATTAACAAAGTTTCATAGGACATTTGCAGTGAGCTGCACTGTTTTAGGTGTTGACTTGAACTTTAAAAACTCTAGAAAAATATTAGATTATAAATAAATATTCAGAGCGCTCTGAGGCTGAACAACCTCCAAGTAGACTTCTGTAGGTAGCACTTTTTAGAGACACAATTCTAGTGAGCCTTCCAGTTTAACGTTGAGCCAGGCCCCAGATAGACTAAGATACCTCTCAGTCAGAGATTACTTCCCCATAGCCAAGTGCAAAAGCCAGACCTGTACACATACAGGATAAAGACAAATACAGGCTAAATATTTGGATAAATCTTTTATTATACAGCCAAGAGTTTGGTTTTTTAAAAAGTTATGTCTCAGGGCTGGGGATTTAGCTCAGTGGTTCCATCACCTGCCTCACAAGTGCAAGTTCCCAAGTTTGATCCCAGGCACCAAAAAAAAAAAAAAAA